TTGGGACACCTCCCCAATGTAAAGGGATTGGGCCCATTTCTTTCTCTGAGTGGCGGAGTCCCCCCCAGTGTTCCCACCTACGATGAGGTGGATGTGATTCTTCTTCGGCGGAGGCTCTTCGAAGTCCTCGTCGTCGCTAAGCCTACCAATCTCCCGCTTCTTCGCAGAGGGTTCGCCCCCTTGTTTGCCGGTGTTTACCCAAGTGTTCTTGCGTGGGCCACCTTTGACAAACTGGGAGAGTTCCCCCTGGCGAATAAGGCGCTCGATGGCCTTCTTCAGTGTGATGCAATCGTCGATGTTGTGCGACGAGTTCTTGTGGAACCGGCAGTACGTGCCGCCCTGCTGGATGGCAAGGATCTCCTCGGCCGGCCGAGGAGCCTGCTCGATGAGGCTGTGCTTCTCGGCATAATCGAGGATGGTGCCGACCGGGTGGGTGAGGGTTACCCCCGGCCGTTCCAACCTCGGCCGCCAGTGGCGATCTTTCTTACTCTGTCCACCAGAGCCGTGACGGCCCTGGGCACCCTGGCCGGCCGGGGACGGACCCAAAGCCGGCGAAGGATTTGTCTTCTTGGATGGATGGCCCCCCTCTCTCTTGTGATTGTGGAGCTCGTCGGCGTCGACATACAAGCCTCCGCGCTGGAGCGCCTTGGCGCTCGACCTCGGGGGGTCGGTGATGAGGCTCCTGGCGTATGGGGAGATGCGGAGGGCTCCCTGATACAAGGCGAGGAGGGTGCGCTCATCGGCCCCCTCGACCTCCTCGGTTTCCCTCGTCCACCGATCAATGAATGATCGAAGGGACTCCTCATGCTGCTGCTTGACGGAGAGGAGGTGGGTGAAATACTTCTTCGCGCGCTTCCTCCCGGCAAAGTGAGTGAGGAAGCGCTGGGCGAGATCCTGCCATGAGTCGATGCTCCCTTCGGGGAGCCCATTGAACCACTCGTACGCTGGCCCCTCGAGAGTAGAGAGGAACCGACGGCAGAGGTATTCGTCGGACGCGTTCACCATCAGCATGTTGTTCTGGTAACGGCTGAAGTGTTCCTGGGGGTCTGATCGGCCATCGTAGGACTTGATGGCGTTCCCCCTGTACTTCTCCGGGATGGGGGCCGAGAGGACCCTGTTGGTGAAAGGGGTCCTGGTCCTGACCTGGATGATGGGGTCACCCCGCCCCTCGGCCAGCTCCCTCTCCAGGGTGCTAACCTTGTTCATGAGCGCGTTGAGGCTGGGGTCGTTGGAGGCGCCGGCCGTAGGAATGTTGGCCGACTGCTTGGCCTCCATCTGAGCCAGCCTCCTTTCCAGCTGGGCGATGACCTCGTCCCGGGGGTCCCTGGCGGCCGCAGCGGCGCCCGGCTGGTTCCTCATGCGCTCGTTGTGAGCCGCGTTGATCTGGTGACGCACGTCATCCTCGTGCAACTTTCCCTAGCCCTTGTCCGGGCGGGGCTGGTTCGCTGTCCGGGACACAGACCCCAAGCTTTCCCTCGGCGAGCCAGGACGAGGCTCACCAATTCGTCCCGCCATCCTCTCCGAAACCGGACGACGGCGCGTGTCACCTAGCCTATTGAAGGCAGAGGCTTTTCCATGCGCTGGGGTCTGCCCAGGCCGAAGAGGGGAAGCATGGTGGGAGTGGGACGACGCCGTGTCCTGGGGCACCACCCCCTCGTCGTTGCCTATCTGGACGGCCAACGGTTGGGGCTGAGGAGGTTGAGTGACGTTCCCCCCGGTCCTTGGCAAGAGTGCGCTGAGGACGGTGGGGTTCTGAGCTAGGCTGGCGATGATGACCGACAGCGCGGCCTGGACCTGCGGATCCACGGACGGAGAGGCCGCGGCCATAGGCTGGGGCGGGGCGTGGTCCGTCTTCTCAGCTCGTTTCTTGTCCAAGCCGAGGCGGGCGTCGGGGACTCCGCCGTTGAGCTGGTTGCGGAGGTCCGTCGTGAGGTTGAAGGCCTCCTGGAAGAGGTCCCCTCCGCCGGCCTGGTCGGCCGTGGCGTCCTCATCGTGCTCCCTGGGCTCTTGGTCCTCAGGGATGACTTTGCTGACGAGGTTGTGGTTTGACTTAATTCTCCCCATGATCAATGGTTAGCTGTGCTTGGTAGCGACGAAGGGTGCTAACTTGATTGTTCTAGCTCTCAACGAGAGCACCAAATGATAGAGTATATCTCTAGAGAGAAGTGAGAGCTGGAGAGAGAAGTGCAATAATATGCTTCAATAGAATGATTTTGTAACCCCTATAACTACTCCCAAGGGGAGTATTTATAGAGAAAATACGGGCTGGGCTCCAAAACCTTGGGCTTGGGAGGCCCATTTACAACTGGACCGCTACTGGGCCGAATACAAAGCCACTAATGAGCTGTACAAATGAATAAGTATAAAATCCGGTTCTGTGAGGTATTCGGGGCCGACGAGGGCGTGGCCGACGAGGGCACGGCCGACGAGGGCACGGCCGACGAGGGCACCCGGGTTCCTTGGGCTTAGGACCATAATCTGAGTTGGCCCCTTTTCGGCCGACGGGGGCGTCTTGGCCGACGAGGGCGTCACTCTGTGTCTTGTGCTTTCTGTTCTTCCGAGTATGTGGGTCCGGGGGCTCAGACCCATATACTCCATAAGTAGTTTTAGTTGAATTTTTTTATATTTTACATATGCAATATTAGTATCATATGAAAGAGCATAAAAATAAAAAGTTTTATGTATGTTTTTTTAAAAAATTGGATTAAAAATAAAAAAATTAAAACAATTGTCAAATATTAAAGAGTTGTCATGCACATGGGAGGAAACTACGGTGGGGGTGAACATCACCCTCTTTTGAGAGGGAGAGAGGGTGAACAAATTTGTTCTCCACTTATGTGGGGATCTAAGAGCATCCACATTCATGCTTCTAACATAATCTGATTTTTTTGTTATTCTCACCTTTTAATATTTGTCACATAATTGTTTTAGAAACAATCTCATCCCCTCTGAATTACCTTCACTTCTTCAATTATCATCCTGAAATAATCTGATCTTTTGTGGATCTGGTATTAACTAATTAACTCTAATTTCATAAACAATCTCAAAATAATCTAGATTCATATTTTGATATCAGATTATTCTATCAAGGGAAATTTTGGGCCGCCTAGACAAAAATCGGGACGTCTGGCCACCCATTGCCTAGGCGGGGACTAATCGAGCGCCTACAGCGTTTTTTAGAGCAATGGTCTGATCTGATCTGATCTGGTAAACGTCTGGTATCTGTGCATTTTATAACTATGGAAACATGATGTGGTATGGTCTGATCTGGTCTAGTGTTAGACCGAAAACAGTCCAAAAAAACGTCCTAACTCTAGTGTTGGGTCAGATGGGAAGGGCTGTAATGGCCATCATAATCATTTTTAATCTCATTATGGAAACTTGAATTGGAAAAAAGTTTTTGCTACCATGAGTTAATAATTACTGTTTAGTTTACGTCCTAGAGGCTAGAGCCCATTTGGTGACTCTATTTTTCGGCCTATCAGATTTAGCTTATCGACCATCTTTTTAATCAAACACGTAACTTTTGATTTTGTAAGCTGAATTATATAATAATAAGAAAAAGAAAGACTGGAGTTACTTTTGTGGCTGAATTGGCTGAAGTTACTGTAGATGATCCTTTTAGCTATTTTTCATATATTTTTTTCTTTATTTTATGGGGAAAACAATTAAAATACCCCAAACTTTGAAGGGGTGGGAGATAATAAACATCCCAAACTTTCATATGTAATTTAAATACCCAAACTTTTAATAAAAAGTTATTTTAACACCATGATCACGTACAATATTATTTATTTCAAAATTGTAAATTTATGGTGTTCATTGCATAATTTAAAATAACAAATCGAAAACGTTGCAATTATATAGAGTAGGGGGTATACCTATTTGTTTTACAATGGAAGTTTAGAATGTTAATTGTATCTTCATGAATGCTAAAATATTTTAAATTATGAAATTAACACAAAACATTAACATTTTTTAAAGAAATAATATATGACCGTGATGCTAAATTAGCTTTTTATATAATGCTTGGGGTACTTAAATTACACATGCAAGTTTAGGATGTTACCTCACACCCCTCCAAAGTTTGAGGTATTTTAATTATTTTTCCCTTGTTGTATTAATACAATAAAATTTAAATATAATTTTTTCATAAATTAGCAGAATCGGCCAATACAACCACTTCAGTCAGAACTTCATAAATGTTAACAGAATCAACTGATTCGGCCAATTTTAATGTTACCAAATGGGTTCCTAATCTATTAAGAATAATAAAAGTTCAGCCATATTTTAGGAAACATTATTTATTATAGCCAGGGCCGGAGGTGGAAGGGTAGCCAATCGGGCCCTGGCCCAGCTCAAATTTTAAATTGTTTATATTTTTAATGTAAAAGTTTATCCGTAAAAATTCTTTCTACCAGCACAATCCAAACTCTTACTGCCAGGCCCCTGATTATAGCCATATTCTTGTTGCGTTTCTCAAATTATTACTCCCTCCGTCCCGGTCATTTCTTTCGGTTTTGACTGGGCTCGCAAATTTAGATAGTGAGAATAAAGTGGAAATCTATGGTTGTAATTGTGTAATAAAAAGGTGAATGAATGTGTGAGAAAAATAATGTGTGAGAATAATATATGTGTGAGAATAATATATTGTCCCCTTGGCTGCAAATTTTTACCTGCACGGGTAGCTTAGTTGGTCGAGTGGTGGGAGATTTGGAACAATGGATCAATGTTCAAATCCCCGCAGCGACCGGGTGGAGGTCACAGAACCTGAAATAAGGCTGAGCCTCTGATGCGCACGGATGTATGGGCCTACTGTCATTCTGCTGACTGAGTCACCGTGACTAACTTCCCCACCATTCTGTCGGGTTGGGAGATTCCACTTTTTTGGAACAATTGAATTGGACTCCAAGAAACTTAATTATACATTAATTAAGTATCCGTGACTATAATCTCATACGGAGTACTACAATATAAGTATGCGTGTGAGAAACTAATGAGAGCAATCGAGTAATTAACATTAATTATATCACACTTCCTATTTTCGATCTCTGCAAGATGGAGCAGTCATCAGCTACGGCGGCGCCAAGAATCGGGCACATGGAAGGAGCTGCTACGGCCGACCCGACCCGCGGAGAAATGCGTACGAGAATGATCACCAAAGCCATTATCGCTTTGCCTTCTGGGGAATTGCGGCCCGTTACAGTTGGGGATAATTCCTCCACCTTTTCCTTCCACCCTCAAATCTTTTTCTCCTCCCCAGACGACGCCCTATCTAAGATTTCCGACGAGCTCGCCACCTTCTTCTCCGTCAACCCTGTCTCCGCCAGCGAGATCGCCCAACGGATGGTGGCGTTTGCTTTGGCCAAGATTCGCGTAGGAGGCGATGTGCGTTTCGGATTGTCCATGTCCACCGTCTTGGAGAACACCATTCAGGAGGTGATTTCCCTTTCCGAAACTATGGAGCGTTTCGAGTCAGTTATAAATAGTTTTGGGTTGGTGCCGGAAAGTATAGGCGGTGAGGGGGTGTGGAATATCTCAGACGGCGGCGACTCCATCTCAACAGGGCAAGGGCTGTCGGAAACAGAGGTTTCCCGTTTGAAGATGGAGAGGTTTAACGGCGAAAATAAGAACGGGGAGGATGCGGAAGTTTGTTCCGTCTGTCTGGATCAGTACAAGGAAGGCGACGTCATCACGCTGTTAAAGCCCTCTTGTTTGCATAGATTTCACAAGGAATGCATCGTTAGTTGGCTGGGCAAAAACCGGACATGTCCGGTTTGCCGATCTCGAGTAGCGGTTTAATTAAGCAATTAGAATCATCATCAAAAAGTCAAAACTGACCGTAGATGTGCTATACGGAGTTACACGTATATAATACGTATTATTGTTTAGAAGTTTTATACGAAGTAGTATTTGAATTCAATTGAATCGAATCTGTCAATTTTCACTACACATGTTTCTCCTTCCTAATTTCAATCAACAAACTATTGATGACGCCATTTACGGCACAGAGTAATTCTCTTTGTACACGTTTTGAAGTTTACTCGTTTTTACACTTGTTTATGAAAATCATTTTTTTTGTCTGTGAACGATGTTTTCACAAACAAAACAAGTTACTCGCGGTCCAGATAATTAGTAGTCTTAAATTCCTCACAGGCACTATCCGTACAACATTAACTCGGTGACCGTTGGAGATGGCAAACAAAAAATAACAATTTTGTCACGGATTTGGTCCGTGACAAAGCGCTAGCATAAGTTTCTGGTCACTGGAGCTCTGTTGTCACGAACATGGTCAGCGAATAATTCTGTGACAAATATTTTGTCACATATTTGCTCCGTGACAAAAGTTATTGGTGACATGAGAGATAATTTCATGACACAATATGTGATAAAAATCTGTGACAAACTTGTCACGGACGAAATCTGTGACAAAACTCCGTGACAAAATCGATGTTTTTTATAGTGTAGCAAGAAACTCTTTTTGAAGGTAATCCTTTGTCACTTTACTCTTTATTTGATTAATTAATAGGATTTCAGCAGCTTTTAGAAAATTTGTCACTTTACTTTTTAATATGTTTTATCTATTTTTTATTTATTTTCAAAAAAGTTTTTTTATTTTAAAAAACTATTTTTTTAATTTTATTATTTTAATGAGTATTTTTTATAAAAAAATAGAAATTTATATTTTTATACGATTTGTTTGTATCAATTAAACTATTTTTTATTTTATTTTTTGTATTTATTACAAAGTAAAATATGATTATCCTATTAAGTTATGGTAGGTGTAGTATTAGAAGATAAGTTCTATCTTGATTCTATTTTGAGAAGATAAATAACATAGTACTGTTTGTATGGGTATTAGTTTAGTCCTTTTTGGGGTATTATCTGTAGAATGTAACAGTAAATTTATATTGTTTAGAAATATACTACTATACGTATATCGGAATTCTGAACTCAATTTGTCTCATTCATGTCATATACTCCGTATTGAATATTGCACTGCATAAATCTCCGTAATATCATTCACTTTATGAGAGCTTCCAAAAGAGCCAATTAAGCGGATATCCACATTAACAAACTATTGATGACATAAAATATGTCACAATAAAACTGATTTGACCATTGATAGCGTTTCATATAAACTTAGATAGTTAGATATCAAGTTAATTATTATTCATCGTAAGACAACTTCGTTCTTTTTAAATTTCTGAATACGTAATATATTTTATTTAACAAATGATAACATTATTCATTGATAATAAAGGGAAGTCAAAATAGTAGGGAAATTAATAGCTCTTTTTGTGACTCTATTTTTCTGTTTATTAGTCTTATCGGCTAACTTTTTAACTAAATACGTAATTTTTGATTTCGCGTGCTAAATTATTTAATATTAAATAAAGTAAGGTTAAAATTACTTTTCTCGATGTATTGAGTGAAGTTATTATATATGATCATTTTAGCTATTTTTCACATATTTTTTTCTTTATTTCATCAATAAAATATTTTTTAAATATAATTTTTTTCATAAATCAGCAGACTCAGCCGATACAACCACTTCAGTCACAACTTCATTAATTTCAACAGAATCAGATGATTCAGCCAATTCCAGTGTTACCAAATGAACTCTAAAAGATCACAACTTTATTAATTGATAACATAAATTTTCAAGATCATAAACAACTTTATCATATTCTATATTTCTCTTTTGAATCATGGACTCAAGCTTTGTCCATAATTCATAAGCATTTGTGTAAGTGGACACATGCTCGAAGAGAGATTTGTCGATGTACTTACGGATCATAGCAACGGCCTTCCGATTCAGTAGCTCCCATTGAACGTCGCTCTTGCCTTCCACCTTCTCTTTGTAGATGATGGGCTCATGCAAATCCTTGCAGTATAGATGATCCTCCATCATCGACTTCCAATATGAGTAGTTGTTGGCGGTGAGCTTGAACATGTTACCAACATGAGCCACACCATCCTCCATCTTGAACTGCACGAGCTAATGGTGACTTGTTGATGAACCTGACTCTCATACCACTGTTGGGAAAAAACTCCGGATTTTCCCCGCTTCGTGAAGTTAAGATAGGCACTTCGGAATTAAGGTGATAATGGGAGCACACGATTTAAATTCTCCAATATGGAGATTCTTCCACTATACAAAAGAATAGTAAGATTTACAAGGTTGTTACAAAATTGAGCTACTATCTTCGGTCCTGATTCGACTCACCCACTTATTCTTTAAGGCCCTTCTCCCATTTGACAGCTTCACAGGTTCATAAGTGTGATTCTCATGCAAGGATTGCATCTCTTCTTGCATGACTTCTCTCCACTCTTCTTTATGAATATCATTGATTGCTTCTTTATAGTTTTGTGGCTCCCCCTCATCCGTGAGCATCACGTACTCCTCGGTGTTGTACCGAGTGGATGGTCTTATCTCCCTTGAGGATCGCCTCGGCTCTGGTGCTCACAAAGAACTAGATTGAGGATCTTCGTGATTTGATTCATCATGAGTCTCCTGGTTGCTTTGCTCTAACACAGGCTCATGATCTTCAGCATTATTGTCTTGATGTGGATCAGTGTCCTCACACCGAACTTGAGTAGGTTCGGTGCTCCCGCTCCTTCTCAATCTTGACTTCTCTGAATTTTTAATGTCTCCAATTGTTTGGTCTTCGAAGAACACCACATCTCTACTACGAACAACCTTGTTGTAGTTTGGATCCCATAGCCGATAGCCGAATTCATCCTTGGGTGAGCGAAGGTAGATACATTCTTTTGTCTTTGCGTCAAACTTAGCTCACTCATCCTTGGGGATGTGAACAAATTCTCTGCACCCTAACACTTTGAGATGATTATATGAAGTTCTTTTGCCCGTCCAGACTTCCTCCGAGATGGCGCCGTCCAAAGGAACTGATGGTGTGAGGTTGACAATGTCAACTACGTCCAGACTTTCTCCCCAAAAGGACTTGGGTAACTTAGCCTGAGAGAGCATGCAGCGGACTCTTTCTTCAATTGTTCTATTCATTCTCTCAGCTAGCTCATTCAATTGTGGTGTCTTGGGTGGATTCTTCTTTAGCCTAATGCCACATTTCTTGCAATAGGCTTTAAAGGGACCTCTATACTCACCTCCATTGTCAGATCGTACACATTTGATCTTCTGTTCTGTCTCACGTTCTACAAGAGCGTGGAATTCCTTGAAAGCGCCAAGTACTTGATCCTTTGATTTTAAGAGGTGCAACCACACCTTCCTTGAATGATCATCAATGAAGGTCACAAAGTACGTTGCACCACCAATAGATCTCTCGGACATTGAGCACACATCGGTGTGTACAATGTTGAGAATATTCTTTCTCTTAGTAGGCGGAGAAAATCTTTGGAAAGCAACCCTGTGTTGTTTTCCAGCTAAACAGTGTGCACAAGGATCAAGTGACTTACCTTTCACGTCCGGAAGGAGTTGTTTCTGAGCAAGTATGTGAAGGCCTTTCTCACTGATGTGGCCAAGTCGTTTATGCCATACTTCCATGTCATCAGTGGTTATGTTTACTTCTCCTTTGCAGAGCTTAGCTTGCATCACGTACAACGATCCTTCCTTCTTTCCTCTAGCCATGACTATACTTCCTTTGGTGAGCTTCCATTTTCCTTCACCAAAGTAATTCATCAGACCAACATCGTCTAGTTTCCTAACGGAGATAAGATTGAGGCGCATGGCCGGAACATGCCTCACATATTTTAGAACAAGCTTGCATCTGGTTCTAGTTCTCAAGACGATGTCTCCTATCCCAACTAGCTTGCTTCTGTCTTGGTTTACGATGTGAACCGTACCAAAGTCATCACTTTGGTAGGATGGGAAGAAGCTTCCTTGAGGAGTGACATGGAAGGAAGCACCCGAATCGTTAATCCAAGAACTATCATCATAAGCAATGTTGAGGATATTACCTTCTCCAACGAGATATAGCAGATCTTCTTTTACTACTACGGCAGTGGCACTCTTCTCTTCTTGTTGCTTCTTCGTTGGGCTGACTTGGTCTGGTTTGACGTTACCGGCCTTTTGATCTCTTTTGAAGGATCGACACTCCATTTTCCCGTGGCCCATTCTTCCACAGCAGTAGCATATGATCTTCGAGCGTGACTTGGACCTACCTCGAGATTGTTGCGGATCTCGGCTCTAACAACGTCCACGATTCACAATCCTACCCCGGTTCTCGATAACATTAGCCTCGAGATGCATAGACTCACCTCGTTCCATTCTCCTTGATTTTTAACCAAGAAGACTATCACTGACACTGTACATGGTTAGTTTTCCTTTCGGAGCTTAGTTACTAAGCGTAACCACGAGTGTGTCCCAACTTTTCGGCAAGGAACCAAGGAGTAGAAGGGCTTGCAACTTGTCATCAATCTTCATCTCAATTTTGGTTAATTGATTTACGAGCCCCTTGAAATTGTTCAAGTGTTCAATCATACTATGACCATCCTTATACTCCAACTTCACTAACCGTCGAACTAAACTGGCCTTATTACGAGGTGTTTTCTTTTGAATCATGGAATCAAGCTTTGTCCATAATTCATAAGCATTCGTGTAAGTGGACACATGCTCGAAGAGGGATTTGTCGATGTACTTACGGATCATAGCAACGGCCTTCCGATTCAGTAGCTCCCATTGAACGTCGCTCTTGCCTTCCACCTTCTCTTTGTAGATGATGGGCTCATACAAATCCTTGCAATATAGATGATCCTCCATCACCGGCTTCCAATATGAGTAGTTGTTGGCGGTGAGCCTGAAAATGTCACCAACATGAGCCACACTATCCTCCATCTTGAACTGCACGAGCTAATGGCGACTTGTTGATGAACCTGACTCTGATATCACTGTTGAAAAAAAAACTCCGGACTTTCCCCGCTTCGTGAAGTTAAGATAGGCACTTCGAAATTAAGGTAGTAATCGGAGCACACGATTTAAATTCTCCAATATGAAGATTCTTCCACTATACAAAAGAATAATAAGATTTACAAGGTTGTTTC